AACGATTACGATATAGAAAAGATTACATTAGAATGAATTTACTAATCAAAGTAAACACTATCTATGGCTATAATATGTTGATTTATTTATTAACTATATTAAATATAGAAAGGGGTCGAACTGGATAGTTTAGACTATAATAACATAGAGTGCATTGGTTAATCATAAAGGTGCCTTTATAAGTCAAACACTTTCGCTTACTAACTTCGTAGTTTAGTAAAACTGGCGTAGATTATTACCGGTATACACGTTTAAAACTCATAACATTTTCAACAAATTAAAGTGGAAGGTGCTGCGATAATTCTGACAGTTTTACTCTAAGAATCACTAACTTAATAGACAAGGTGTATCGAAACAATATAAAGTGAACACATTTGAAGACTTTATAAAATCAAACCAAGCGAAAACAATTATATAATTATTAATTACCCTTTACATATATACGATAGGTAAATCTGGATAGACAGCGCTCAATAGTGCTAAAATCTATACTTTAAATCTTGGAATAAATTTGTTCAGTCAAAGTTACTAGAGTACGCGTAAATCTTATTCTATTTACTTTTAGTACAATGTAATATTGAACTCTTTATCGACTGATTTAAATGATAGATTTAAGAAACTCGATTAGAGTAGTAAATTTATAAAAATTTATTCCCTTGTAAGGTTATACCTCAAAGAAATACTACAGTGGATAATACTTACTTTAAGATATAAGCTAAACCTAAACTTGAAACTTTTTCACGGAGTTTAAAGCAAATTCTTCTTGCAAGGATATTTCTTGGCTACTTTTTCCGTTGATAGAATAGTGACTATATTATAACTTTAACAAGAAATGCGCTCAAATTATCCATCGATTAATAAGATTCCTATAAAATTTTGTAATATAGAGCCGCCAGTTATCGTCAAAAATGTTTGCCTTCTTTAATTTGATTAAAATAAGTTGAGAATTGATTTTTTGGTATAAATTTAGATTTTCCGATCTTGGATCGTTCTATTTGAATAACATACGAAGAGTCAAAATAGAATTTCTAGTTAAAAAATTTTATACTCGTACGTTAACCAGCTTTGATAGTCTTTCTCGAAGATTTTTACTCGATATTTCCACTAACTTTTACGCTACGTAGTTTTTATCGATAGATAAAGAGTTCAACTTACCGAAAGAGAAAAAATGAAAAATTGCAAGGAGAAGGAAATCAATTAATATCGCCCTAACAACCATCACAAACAATAACTCTTTATTAGTAAACGTGATAGATATTGGAGGTTAAAAATTGGATGGCAATCTTTTGTTTTTTTAAGCTAATGAATTGAGTTAAGACTTATATCGTTGGTTATTGTTTATAGTCTATCCCTATTTCGTAGTAGGTTCAATATTTAATTCATTTATTTTTATGCTAATGAATATCCTGACATAAGGCTATTGATGTCCAAACCATAAAAATCATAAACATAATTTTCAATATCGATTGATGACTTATTTTCAAATACAACAGTAGCCTTCCTTAGGATAGGTTTTTACAACTAGACATACAACGAAAATAAAAAAAATATGGACAATGCTCATTATTATCGACATAGAATATAAGAGAAAAGCTGTAATAATGGCAAACAGTTATTGACGCATTGATAGACAATACAATTTGAGCAATTTAGAAAAAATTTACTACCATTCATATTGGCCAGGATATTATCCTGGTACTGATAATTATCATAACACCTTTTCTATTTCAAGGTAGATTCACAATTGACATCTGTATGGTAGTTAATTGAACAATTTCTTCTGTTTCTAACTTGTTTTCAAGATAGAGTTAATTGCTATTTCTCTATAACTTTTTACAGCTCTTTGAATCATACTTTGAACGAACAATTCGATTGATTACTCTTTACTATCCATTATACAAGATAAAATATAAATATTTCTAATTTCGTTGTATAATTGCATAGGCAGCCAATACTTTCTCACAAAGGCCTTTCTATTATTTATCATACCCTTAACTTTGGTCTTAGCTAAAGGGCAACATTTAATCGTCCTTTACCTATACTCTTATAATAGAACTTCGTATTGTAGAGATAGTTCAATCCCTGTTATCATACATACCTGAAGAGAAACCGATTATCAATAAGATATATTACTTATAATCATTTATATGATATAGGTACTATTACATAATTCAAAATTTTATTGCTATTCTTAACTCATCGCTATTTTCACTATTAGGTAACCTTAGAGAAAGTAGCGCTAAGCAAACAGTTTCCCTTATTGAAAATAGAGTTGTAAATACTATCCCGGTTTGTGAGATGATAAAGGCATAGATAGTAAAAATTCGATATAACATTAAATTAGTTAACATAGTAAGATGTAATCTTTTGTCTACTATGGAAAGTAATTAATAAATATTCACAACTTACTGAAATACAATTATTAACTTGTACCTTCTACCAATGTAATAAGAAGGTATCTAAAATGTATAAGTCGAATAAGTGGATATTTATTTTGTTTCTTAAGATCATTCCATGACTTAGTGAGGCCATTTTTAATCTGTTAACCAAATTACATTACTATTTACGCTAACATTTCAATACATACGATCATTTAGAATAGAAAATGAAACATTAGGCTTTTACAAACACGAATATTGATTAATTAGAAATATTTTCGCAAATACTCATTGTTAGTCAGGGTGAAATATTTAATTATTTATTTCATTCTTTATGTACCGTATTGGCAATCGCTATAGTCTGATTAGTGACTTTAATTAAATAAATGCAGCGACGTGATGCAAAGCATTAAATATAACATTATAGATCAGGGATCATTCTTGAATTGTAAGATAATACTTGTGCACTGGTAAGCTTTACCACGAATAGACTGCCAAATTTAAGAATTACGTTACAGATCTTACGAAAGAAGAGCTATTTAATGAAGTGTCTACTAATATAATTATTAAATATGTCGCTTTCTATATGAAGTCCACAATTAAATATTGATAAAACTGTCCATGTAATTACTTAATCAATCTCTTGTCGGCTATTGCTGTTCGTTTCTGAATTTTCGTTTGAGAAAATGAAATGATAGTGGTCATACTGAATCCATAGAAGTAAGTGAAAAGCGTCTTCTTTATGGTAGAATTTAATTATTACACTAAAGCAATAACCAAAGCCGACAAGTTATGAATATTCAAAAAACATTTACTTATCACAGGAACATACGAGCATATTCCTAGAGTAATTATTCAAGAATGTCAAGAAGTATAAATCAAAATATTAGAATAAACGTTCGTAAAACAGTAACAAATATGTCCTTATATGATAATTAATTAGAATAGTTTCTAGAAATAAATTATACGGATATATTGAAAACACATTTTTCTAGGTGTAACGTAAGGTCTGTAAACTATGCCAAAAATGAATACTTATTATTTTTTACCTACTAAACGCAAATAAACTATGAATATGCCAAATAAATTAAAGATGCAAACATACTTACATAATAATCGGTATAAATCATAAAGATCAATTTAATAGAAATAATGAGAAATTATATCTAAGTGCCATAACTATAAACTGCTCAACCACTTACGTATAGCAAAACAATAATTAGAGATTTTTTGCTTATTTTTTTATTGATCGTACTGATAATTAACGAAGACGTACGTAAACTTTAGAGAAGGAGATGCAACCCTCACATATGTAGTATCTTTCATCATTAGTAGCTTAGTATCCTAAATGTAGTAAAGTTAGTTTGTTATTTTATATTCGTTATATGAATCACTGATAAGGTGCCGTAATTAAGATTATAACATATTCTGAGAAGTTTTGACTACATAATTATGGAGAATTTTTAATTCTGTTTTGTAAAGTATATTCATAATGTCTACAAAACGTAATTAATAAAGGAATCTATTTGCTGTTATTGCCTGGCATTAGCCATTTTTTCACCAAATCATTTTAGAAAGTCTCCGTTCTCAACTATTACTATAACGATTGAGTTAGCTATAAGTTTCTATGTTAGAAACTTTATTCTTAAACAGAAAGTTAACAACCTGAAAGAATCCTGGTTGATTTTGAAGTCTGGTAAATAATATTGCATACATCTGTTGTCTTAAATGGAACTGCGATACCATCTCGACTGAAAAGATCGTATAGGTATTAAAATCTTATATAATTTTGTTTTCATTTATTGTAATTAGATCATTTGTTATAATATCACAGCAATACCTGTAATCTTGCTATCATTAGTTTACCTGTCAGTGCAAAGAGATAATGCATCTAAAATTAATCTAATTACTTATTGATAAACTCAGCTGCATTAGGGTAACTACAACGTCTGTATATCACTAATATCAGATTTACCTCCTGATAGGATTCATCATTATTACGGTACTTTAACAGCAGGATACAAAGATTTAGACTATCATAATCTTCTGTAACGAAAGTTTATTTCTACCCACCCTCTCTGCAACAAATTGCGTAGAGTCTAGAATAGCTCTTAGTTTATTTAAGCAGAAAACGGTATTGGGTAATGTTATTGTAATGAGAAATATAAGTTTAAAGGAATTAGAAAAATCAATAGAATGTCATAACTTTATTGTGATTGGGTATTCATATTTTAAGAAAGTGGGCTCGCTTTTAAAAGTCAATGATTTCTTATCACATTGCATGAAAGATATAACAATGACTAGAGATAGCTAGATTTATGAGAGAAATTGTTAGGGAGGCATTGTTAAAGATATACTGTATATAACTACTAATAACAGCATAGAATTAGTTATAATAAATTATATCCTAAAGCCAACATAATATTCCTACAATTAGAGTAGTGTAGGCTGGAGGGGGAAAGAAGTTTTTGTTTTGTGGAGGTATTTAGATAAGGTATTCTTGTCTTCGAGCTATTTGAAGAATCATTATGTGCACTTTTAAGATTAAAGCTTTGATAATTGGTTGATTTTAGCATTGCAATCCTATGTTTCAAAATTCTTTTTAAAACTAGTTCCTCAGCTGCTTTAATTTCCCATATTACGATGCTGCGATTATACAAAATATTTTAAATAACTGAAAGGGAAAGTATCTCTCCCTATATTTCAATCGTATTAATTGTGCTAACGAATGAAAACGCTAAATATCATTTAATTTTTAAAATTTCTATTATATATTACTACCTCTCTATAAGGTTAAGATTTAGTAGTCAGCTAAGGTATCGTTAATAGTACAGTATAGTACGTGTTAATTTTTGGTGAGAAAAAATAGTCTAGAAGAAAGTGGTATTCGTAATCTAGACATTACAATCAGATCGTTGATATTAGTCTCAACTAAGTAAAACCAATTTAAGTCTCACAGACTATTTCTAATTGTACGTGGTCTTTACTACATGTCATTATGCGAGTATTAGTTAATATAAATAACCTAACTACTTGAATCTCTGAGGATGGTGTCCAATGCTAGTGCTATTATATAAACTGGATTTAAATTTCCTTTCATATTTGTTTAGTTTGCATTAATCGAAAACAAATGATCTTATCAAACCATCTATTTCATAACCATTAAGTGATCATAGCATCATAAATAACAGTTTTAAAGGTAATAATTGCAGGAGAGTACGTAGCATTCTAAAACATTCGAATCGATATGTTTACATGAACCAGTGATGTAAGATAGCAATCAGAAATCTTTATTTATTTATTCTTTCTTTGAGCTCAGATATATATATATACTCGTATTCTATCTAGATATTTTAATCGGTATGATTACGGATATTCTAATATCGAATAGTTTTTTAAAATAATAAATATTGAAAGGTGCCTAGCTGTCATGTAAGGGCCTAGTTAGAATAACATTTTTAAAGAAATCTGAATGACAGTTTAATATTTGATATTGTAATCACCTAATTTTGCCTGTAGCTAGTTGTAGTTACTTATTTTACGATACTGCACATTTCAAATCTCCATGAACCTCTATTTTGCACATCGTATGTATAAGGTAAATGATGCACTCATCACCTCAATGACTCAATGTAATGGTAATTTAAGACTTGATAATTGTAATATGGAATCTGCAAGTAAAGTGATAAAGTACAGCTATCGTATTGGATTCTGTGTGTAATTATACAGGCTACATAGCCAGTAAATTATAACGTATTTAGAGGTAAAAAAAATTTTATTACGAGAAGAGTGGAGAAAATAACAACATACAGATTTACTAATTAATAAGAATTTACACACGACCGAGGTCAGAATTAATAAAAATGACTGGAAATCATCTACTCTTTACGAAGATATATTTTATGTCGAATTTAAGATGCCCAAATGAGTTAGATGTATGTGGATAGGCTAACATGATATAAGAATGATACTTGACATTAGAATAAATATAGTAAACATCACTAACCTATGACATATAAAGCTTTGATTAATGTACTGCCTTTTAACAACGCAACATCACAAATTTTCTTGTCAAGTTCATAGCTACTATTTATTCAACTAATAATGATTCTATGCCACAGTATGCGCTAGGTATATACTTTCTCGATACTTCACTTCTCTATGGTAAGCATTACTGCTACTTTAGTATATGCTCAAATGAATGCGTTATTCAGTCCATGATTCAGCCATTTGTTTATGTGCAATCTGTCCTATTACTTTGGCGTAGAGTACAATTACTTTTGTAATAATATGGCGACACAGTAGCAACAACTATCAGGAATTACTAAAAAATATTTTAAAGGGGAATTCCTTAGCTAGAATGGTATTTGAACAAAACTATTGAGAGAAATAGATGCCGATAGCGGCCGGTGCCGCTAGATAGTTATTCAACTTAATAGACTACTTCCGGTTCTTTGCCCTCTAAAGAATTAATTTTGGGAGATAACGGAATGAAGTTTTGGACAAAAATCTTTAAAGTGACAGTTTATTAGGCTATAAAGATAATCCATCTGGAGAGAAAAAGGAAAGTAAGAGATGCAGATTTTCAAGGTAACATTAGTAGAATATACAAAGAGATAGTCATCCTGCGTAGATCAATTCTGCCTTACATAAGTCAGTAGCTGAGAATAATCTACCGGCATATGTGCGGTATATAACCAAAATCGCAACCTATCCTCATGTACTGTATTATAGCGTAAAGTAGGAGTTATCTTGTAGCTAACCACAATTTCTGCAACGAAAAACTTATAACTACCAGTATCACCCTGACATTTATATTTAAAAACAATATTTAATATACATACACAATGGACATAGGTGATATTATTCTGTAGGTGACGGTGTGGTGCAATTAATTCCAACATGATTAAACTAAATTGATTAAATAAATAATTACATTTTTTATATTAATCGATTATTAATTATTATTCATGTTATGGCTAGTGTTCCTCCTACTATTGATAAATTAAAACCATTGTAGAGTGATATTTCAAGAAATATTTAAACTACAATAATAATATCAACATTGGTCAGTAATTACGACATAAAATTTAGTGAGAAAATTCAATCAAGATTTTGCTTGATTACAATGTGGCCTACCAGAAAGAGATCTCTCCCTTGGTAACAATGATGTCTTTCTTGTACCAAAATTCTTGGTTGCAGCAAACAGCGATAGTATAACGTTAAAGTATCAGTATTAGATTTTACTAATTATAAGACTGGATAATTTTAGTAAGTGAATAACTTGATTAACATGACTTTAATTGTAATGGGAGTACGGAAATAAATTATCACATAGTGAAAAGGAAAGAGTTAGTTTGTTGAGGTTATAACTGTAAGTAAGCAATAATAGAAATTTCGCTAAGAGTATTCCAGCATATTAATTCTTTTTTCTATCAGCCGAGTAACGAGCTATAGAAATGAATGTGTGCTGAATGTAGCGCCAAGTAATATTATAATTACCTGAAAATCTCATTCGCACGGCATGGCATGCGGGTTAAACTGGCAACAAATAAAACCTAATGAAATGTTGTCAGTTAGTTACAAATAACTACGGTTAAATCGAAGATGAGGATAAAAACAATGATATATCGCTAAAAAGTAGATCATGAAAACATTTCTCATGATCGAGAACATCAACTGAAATATAACGCTAACTCCATTAGGCAATTATAGTGATATGGTTGATTAAATTGTACTATTGGCGTTTACTTTGATGTCTACAATAATAAGTAAATAAACAATCATGATCTTTTATTTTTAATTAAACCGATATTGTGAATGATATTGACCACGTTATTTAGATTTTTCATTACGAAAGTAACAATACGCTTTAGATATAGATAGGCAATTTAAAAGTTTACAGCTGGGTTAATTTGGTGTAGCAGATAGATCTATGTAGTGTCTTACGGTGCCCCACAATCAATTTTTACTATTATGCTTCTTTCTTATGAATACAGATGAAGATACAATCAATACTGCAATCAAATAACTATTAAAGTAGATAGAAATCTAAAAACTGATCAATAAAAGAAACATTCGAATTAAGTTACCTGTAATTAAGTTAATAAACGATATCAATTTATCTCAAATGAAATGATCAATCCAGGTTATCTTGATATTTTCTTCAACTTATTAGTCATTGCTACTATATTATTCGTTTGATACACTGCCATACTACGAAATGAATTTTAGCCATCTTACTATATATACATTAGCTTTACAAATAGACCATTGTTCTGCTAAACACAATAGAGTAAATTAAAGAAAATTTTACTCCATTTTTAACGGTAGTTTTTTTGGTAAAGCCTCTCAATAATCATATTAAAATGGAATGGGACATTTAAGAGTAGCATTTGCAATAAATAACTTGAATCAGATAGATATTTAAAGGCAGTGATGTTATTAAATTATGATTGAATAGTTAAAATCAATCACAAAAGGCTAACTTATTGCGTACTGAAGATAAACTATAATGCCCGGATTAAGTTTGTCCTTTAAATAATAGCTTTTGCTAAAATCAGTTTAATCTCTCAGTAATTAGAATAGTATTAATAATAGTATATAATTATATAATATTATCGTAATATAGCACTAGTATTTAGCGATAATTATACTATTCTGCAACTCTAGCGCTATAAGGACAATGTGGGCGAAACATACTCATACATTCGTTTCTTGATTATAATCATTATAGAACATATTATCGTTAATATCTACATATTGCATGCTACCAGAAGATGTCGATGAAGAATGAGAATTTTTATACGAGTGATTCCCATTTGTTTGACGATTAGCTTTCTGTTGATGATACTGTAGACGATTAGTCACATTTTCTCCGACATTTTCACGGATATATATGCTAGATTGATCAATAATTGTCTTGGGAAAAGGTCGATATAGTGCAGTTGTAGGACTACAAGGCCCTGGTGATGATTTATTGCTGTAAGAAATGTTATCTTTGCAAGATGAACTTGGTCTTTTATGATCTCTAATGCTACTTAATGTATCAGATGGATTAAAACTACTATTAGATGATCTTAGTCGACGTAATACTCGTCTATCTTGACTGTTACTTAAGCTATTACTATTTTTCATTGCTATACTGGATCGTGATATTGAACTCATCATAGTTGTTGTACGGTCCATGAATGTATTAAATCGGCAAACTTTACAATATTGCTTCACTAGGGCTCTTCTAACCGGTCTATATAACAACCCAAACATAATAGGATTAACAGTTGGATAGCAGAAGTTGATAACAAGCAACATTGGATAAAGCCATGGTATCTTTCTACTGGGATCTTTTGGATAAGTTATGGAAGAGACTAAAGCATAAATTAAGGTTGGTAGCCAGCAAATTACAAAGGCTAATAAAAGAAATGCTAAAATAATTTCTCCTTTACTTTGATGTCGTAACTTTCTGGTACTTTTTTCTTGTGACTGTTGCGATGCAATCGATAGACGTTGTAGCTTTATTGTACGACTATGCCCTAATGCTATTCGAGTTAGTTTAATATAAATAGCCGTTGTTACGAATAATGGTAGGCCAAATAAAACTGTAACAACTACACTGTTATAAATTAACATATTGTTCCTATGATATTTATAATAACATCGATAGGAATAAGTAAAATCGAATTGCCTCCATATCATCTCAGGCAAATAAGATACAATCGCTGGTATAATCCATGATAATATCAGTTGCAATATCAGTAGGCGCTTGGTTTTTGTTTTAGTTACTTCTAATGGACGAGTAACTCGTAGATAACGATCAATTGAAATAATCATATAATGAAAGATGCCTGTCGATGGTAGAAAGTATCCCATAGGATTCCATAAGTAGCACCATGCTTGGCCAAGTACCCATTTGCGATGGATTAAAAACATAAAAAAGGGCATGATAATCATAACAGCTGTCAAGATATTGACAACACATAAACTTGCAATAGGCACATGCTCTAATTTACGCAGTTGACGATCAAATAGTATCAGTGCCATTAATATTAAATTGCCAACTAGAGCAGTTACAAAGATAGTGACACCAAAGATAATCCGCCAATCTAATGGTGATTGCTTTTGCATTGGTTGCTTCTGATTAGATAATAATGATGGAATCGATGTTAAATCTGATAGGAGAATAGTTGTATTATAATCCATGCTATAATTGCCGCTTTCCATATTGAAATGTTGATCCTTCGAGAATAGTGTTTAATCGATTAATCGAGTGTATTTGTTATTGATGAAAATAAAATTATCAAATAGTGTATGGATAATAAGGACATTGATTGCAACAATAATAATATTACTAATAATAACAGTAACTGCGGAACTTTGTATTACTGTGATATACTAGTACATATATAGCAATGTTAAAATCGATCCGATTGGATGGGAGTAATCACGTAGAAATTGAATCATTACATCAATTGCAATTTAATAAAAATTTTTAATCTTTCTAGTGAAAGGCGATGGAGAATTGAAAACTTAATCGAATAATGTAAGTAAAATTTTTCTTAATGAAATGATAGCAAAAACAAAAAGCACCGTTAGTTGCAGTTACTCAATTTAGTAATATTCAACAATTGCCGCTACAAACTACAAAAGCTTGACGATAGAATTTTTAGAAGAGAAAAATGATGATGTTAATATTAATGTAGAACATTTACTAAAAGCAGACTTTGTACATCGATTACTAGTAATAGACTCAACTGGACTGGAAAAGAATGAATTAATATTCAATTTACCAAGGCTTCGATAAATTATGTAATAAATAGGAAAAATTACACAAAAATGAATCCAATACTTGAAATATTCTTTTACCTTAATTAATGCTGATAGATATATTCCGAAGTTGGACTACTATTAGTCAAAGTTGAAATAATATTCATTTCACCCTTCTAATTTGGCAAAACAACCTTTTAGAAATCTATCAGTACAGCTAATGACTATCTTGTATCCTGTTGATCAAATATATATCAATGTACGTAAGTATATATACAGTATATTATACCCATTTGAAAGTAATCGATAGATCTACCGTTGTATCGATCAGATGCAATTTTATTTTGTTGATGTTATCCAAGCTCATTTTGCATTGTTCAATTTCCAGTAATGTCAATAAATTTTAATCTAATTTAATTACTTTATATTTACTATCCTTTTTTCTCCTTTTTATTTCCTCTCCTCATTCAATTGACAATGAATTGTAGATATATATAGAAAGAGTATCTACTGCATTTAAATTATAGCAAGATTCTTTCTACGTCAAGATGTCAATCAAGAAATTAAATTGACCTTCTCCTCATACGAATTGAATGAATAAAATTATTATTGTCAATTTTAGCTTAAATTATTGTTATCTTATCACTGCAGACGTTGTTATTTATTTATGTCAATTACTCAACAGGATATACACTATCATAGCGCTCGATAGGGTAGTATATCATGATTTTTGTTGTCGTATAAATCCGGTCAGGAAATATCTTTAGCTCATATTTGAGTGCACATCTGGTAACGTAAATTAAATCGATATCTTAGTTATGGCACTATCTTTTAAATTCAGTGGAATTGGTTAATTCTAGTCCTGAATATCATTAAAGTATTCAAGTCTGTATTTCTCTATTAAAGGTGCATGCATGGAGATGCGACCTTGGTTTCTCTATGAGTTACACGTAGAAGTTTAAACAGATACAAGAAAAAATGAAGTAGAATAGGACAGAATCTTATGACGTTAGTTTTGACATCAAATAATGATAAGCGAGTCTAGCAGACTAACATTAGCGACAAAAATACAAGCGATAGAAAAGACTGGATAAAACATTCAACAGTATCAATTGTTGTCGTCGACAGAAGAAATCGGCGTTAATTTGGACTCTCGCCATATCTTAGACATCTTGATTGTTGTTGTTTAGAGAGTTATAACAATGAAGAATAACGATAGTTTTTGAAGTTTTTCTTTTTGAACTAGAGATCGCGAAGGCGAGCTTACCACGTATAAATACATCAAAACATTCTATTATCTAGATCATCCTATATTACAGAAAATGTCGTCGAGACGTAAAATGTTGAGATGTTAAGATTCTATTCAAATTTTCATTTAGAAATATTGAATAGTGCGGCAAGAACTTTATTCAATATCACCGATATCAGATTCTAATGATTATGAAGTAAACATTGTGGCATACAGGAAGATGTAATTCTAGCTTTTAATAAGTAACTTTTTCTATATTTAATATAGTATGATGATTGATATTCGTTATTTCTTGTAATTAAAATTATATATAGAATGCATATAAAACTAATGCAAGGATTCTATATGATTAGTATCCTTTACTAAACTTTAATGATATAGTGATTAGTGTTTGTTATCTTGAAATCTATAAAAGTGTATATATATACTTTATATATTTTATTTATACCGATATCGAAAGTTTGTAGCTATTGGTATACATGTATTGCAAGAAATGGAATTCTAATAGCGAAATGAATAACATTTTATACAGGGCTGAATAGAAATTTAATTAAATCACTTTATCATTTTGACTGTTTCTTCATTATAGTCTTTGTCGCATGCCTAATCCCAAAATAGAAAGCCAAAATTTATCTGACTTATTAATTATTTAAAAAATGTTATTAAGTAATATGTAATGTATATCACATCAAGCAATTGTAGAGCATCGATAGTCTACAATAGAAAAGAGGAAATGAAGCTGAAAATAGGGATCTCTTTAACTCGATTAAAGCAATTATATTTTACATACAAAAAATTTAAATTCTTTATCTTAGCTGGAATTTTTGGTAGCTATAGCTTATATGATCATAATCATAACAAGATAATAATATTAGCTATAACTAAAAGGGATGTAATCTTTGACTTGATTCTTAAAACATTATATATATATATTAAACTAAATGAGTACGACAAATATAATGAATGATATCGTGATAATATAGCTTAAAAATAGAGAATTGCCTTGAACGTGAGTCTCTAAAAATTTGAACTATCGAACCCTTTAGCCGTTCATTTGAACCAGTGATGATCAAAACCTCTTAATTATTGTTTATTAGCACAGGTGTAGGCATAAAATCCATTTATCTGCGGTGCGTAACATATCCGAATAAACATTTCCTATATCACTTATTAATGTAAAATTGTATGATATTCTGCAATAGTGGTTTGAATTTAGTCCTTAAAGCTCACATATTATCCATAATGATTAACGTCATAATCATATAAAGCCACTTTTGTTATCTGATGTATTTCAATGAGACTTAAAATATTAATAATTCATACTACGAAATGGATTCAAATTCCTTCAGGCAAAACATTATATTTTGATTAGCGTCTGTACAAGTATTATTCTAGAGTAAATAAACTTTGCATA